GCCTGACCCAGAATTTCCATACTGATACACAGAGATCATGTGTAAATTGAGCACTATTTGATGAATTCTGGGGAACGCTCAGGAGTCTTTCCTGGAACACAAACTCTGGTCAGGATAATGCTAGGGCGAAATGACCTATATTTGTCCTTCCTAGTAGCTGTATCACTTATTTATTTCCACATCTTACCTCATTTCTTAACAGTGCTGCCATATGATTGCTTCTGTTCTCAGTTGTGGTCTTTCTGATCTTTTGGCTCTTTTCTGTCTAATGCAGAAAACCTAACTGGTATGTCCTTGCTCTGATTTCATGTGTATCAGTATGGAAATTCTTCATCAGGCAATGTCCAGTGGTTTGAGAGTTCCCATGAAAGGTAGGGTGCGTTTGCAAAAAAGCATAAACACAATTCAGAAAGGAATGCTCATAGAACTAGAGAGAGAAACCCAGCTACTTGGAGACTTCTCCATTACCCTGACAGCCACTGTGAGATGCAACTGGGCACCAGCCAGCAGTTCCCAGCCTTGGGTGAACAAATCCCTTTTATCCTTCACCTCCCTGGTAACACAAGATGTTTTGGATTATTAAGCCTCCTTCTTATTGGTTCTTCTGCCCCCAAGACACCTCATCACTGGTAAATTCAAGATGGAGCTATTGCTATAACTGGCTGATCTGTTGCTGGGGTAAAGGCCAACACAGTGATGCTGCTTTCCCAGATGTGGTCTCCTTCAGGCCCTGAACACACACACCCCCGTTTGGTTTGTCTTGACCTTCTTCCTACCCCTTAATAGCCCCTCCTCCTCCTGTGGTTGCACAGTAAACAAGCAGTCCACCCAAGGGTTCCCTGGAGACCCAGAGGTTTTTCAGCTTTGCAGTGTTTAGCCTGCTAAAGTAGAATTTTGTATAATCCATAAAGGCAAATTTGCAGGAAATGAACCTTTGCACAATCAAGAACACACACAGGCCTGCAAGATCACGCAAGAGACCATAGATTTTCTGTTAACTAAATCCATCTAAAAATCACTGATGTGGATACATATAGCTTTGCCTACAAGAATACATGAGAAAAATTGAGGGGATTACTAGTCCCCTGTTGCTACCAATGGCCAATGTGCCTGAAATTCTACCATTAACATTGACTCTTTTATGAACTTTCTCCTCCTAGAGCCTTCTTTTAAAATACAGAGTCCAATTGTTCTGAGAGATGTATTTCTTTATAGCCAAATGTATTTATTTACAGATGCCAGTATATTTTAGCACCTGGCTGGTCAGAGGAAGAGATGTGACAGAAGTTAGTCAGAGAAATGCTAGTTGCTGACTTTGAAGCTAGAGGAAGAAGGGGCCACAAACCAAGGCATGCCAGAGAATACCTCTAAAAACTGGGGAAAAGGAAACAGATTCTCCTGAAGGAGATCCAGAGATACAGTCCTGCCCACACCTTGTTTAACCCAATGAAACCTGAATCATACTTCTGACCTAACAAACTATAAGATAGTAAATGTGTATTGTTTAAAATTACATATTTAGGGTAGTTTGTCATGAGTAATGAAAAAGTTATACACCCCTTTCCTTAGATACTTCAGGGACACTTTGTCATATTAAGCCATTGGATGCTATCTCACTCTTTCTCAGAGCCTTTCAATGAAGGTGATTTTTGTAGGTTCTTTGACAAAATTTCAATGTGAGTGTGTGAGTGTGTGTGAAGACTCCCCCAGCAGGGTATCAGAGAACTCAACCTAATTTGGATACTGTCTATCCAGAGGAAGCATCAAAGCCCACAGGTTAAGGGTTCAATCTCCCCCAAACCACCTTCTACTTCAGATGCCAGTCACACACCCAGGCTATCATTACCTGTGACTCTGACATATCAACTACATTACCTGTGACTCTGACACACCAACTCTAACTACAGGTTAGAGATTCCCACCAACCCCCTCTTCAGGTTTCATTAGCTAACCAGAGTGGGACACAGATATCAGGAAAACTGTTTCCTAACTAGATCACCTATTTATAATAAAGGCTGTAGTTCAGGAACAGCCAGATGGAATTGATGCAAAAACAAGGTCTGGGAAAAGGGCATGAAACTTCCTTGTACTCTCCAGGTTTTCTCCTAACACCTCCATGTGTTCATCAGCCTTCCTCCTGGATTTTTATGGAGGCTTCATTACATAGTCACAAATGATTAAATCACTGGTCATTGGTAAATGAACTCAGCCTCCAGTCCAATATTCTCTCCAAAGGTCGGGGGGAGAGAAAGTTTCAACCCACTCAACACAAGATTGATTCCTGGCAATAAGCCCCATTCTTCGATGCTTCCCCTAAAGTCACCTTATAAGAGACAACTTTATCACTCCCAACACATTTCAAGGATCTTGGATGCTGAGAACCAGAAACAGAGGAGAAAGAGCAAATATGTGTTTCACAGTGGATAACCAAATTATCTACTTCTTATAAATCAGAATATTGCAAATACCCATTTAACTCAGGAGCTGAAATACCCAGCATTTCAGAAACTTACTTGGATACCAAACCTCTCCTCTCCTATCCTGTAACATCTATTAGAACATTGGTGGAAAATAATTCATTAAAACATTAACTGCTATTAACACCTTTGTGTGCTTTTGTTCCTTTGCTTTCAATGTGGTAGGTTAGATAGACAGGGTCTTTGAGTATCTGTAAGGTTGAATTCCTAAAGTAAAATGGCTAATTTAAAGGTATTTTCCTTTTTTAAAAGAAAGAGGTTAAAGAATAGGCAAAGGACAGATACATTTTGATAGGTTGGAATGGAGTTCTAAAGAGGTGAGGCCTGGTTTATGAACTCAGTGGAGAAAGTGTGGGAATTCAGTAGAAAATGATGAGTAGAGAGGAAGGAGACATGTACTATAGAAAACTTCAGGTGCTCTACAACTTGTCTCCTTGAGTTTAAAAGCATGAGCCAAATACTTGCCTGTTGGGTTCACTATCTTCTCTGGTAAATTTCCCTAACCTCCTTTTCTTCTCCAGACCTAGGTTGGAAGCTATTTATTTATTTATTGTGATAGCAATGTACTAAAATTACCTGTTTATTTGCCTTTCCATTACAAGCCTGAAGTTCCTAGAGGGTGAGAAATGAGGCCACTCTTCACATCTTCTGTGTCCCCTCCATCAAAGTACTCAGTGAACTTCTTTGTTTCATCCTTTTTGGGCAATATGTGTGTATGAACTTAACCTTGACTTTCCTCATAAATGGAAGCCTATACCACCACCTGCACCCTGTGCACACCCCAACCTAATAAGAACTCACATTCTAAATAAGATCACAGAGCACCTCCTGTCATATATTCTTTCTTTTTACCTACCTTCTTTTTTTTTCTGGTGAAAGCAAAACGTTTACCCTAAATATGTTCTATGTTGTATCACATTTTATGAGGTGTCTGACTAGACTACAAGAAAGTTGAGGTCAGATGAACAAGTTGTTATACTTCCAATGCACTTTATAACAAACAATCAAAATTGAGGCCTTGTGGCTATGAACAGGACATCTGGGAAAAGGAAACGATGTGCTAGGTCAGTACTTGTGTGTAAGGTAAGAGGTAAAATGAAAGAGAAAATCCCATGTACCACATCACCCATAATCTAGGAAGGCTTCCTAACTGTAGAGCACTTGGAAGTAAAGAGTAACCAAATTTTCTATGGGGAATCACTCCTCCCTCTCTCTTGGTTCTATGGTGACAAACAATTAGAAACCTGAATCCATTATTTGGAGAGAAAAGGTTTATTTGAGTGACTCCTGAGTCTGATCTTAAACACTTTTAGAAGAATAACATCCTGAAGCTGCTACTCAGTGGAGAATGACAATAAACCAATATGAAAAAAGAACTGAGGTGAGAGACTGAGAGAGGCCTAGGCCTGATGACTCCAGGTGAATCCTGAGTTAAGCTCATGTTCAGTCTTGTAAATGTAGAAACCAGTAAACTCTCTTATTTTTAGTAAGCCAATTTGATTTGAATTTCCATTCATTTACAAAGAAGAGTCTTAATGATATAGAGGAAGAACTTACATAGTGTGTAAGTAACTTACATTGTGTGAACACAGAGAAAGCTGGGGACCAAAGGTCAAGGGGTAGTAGACACCTACCCCCAGCGCCCCTAGTTGGGAACTGCCCCCTCTCTCTCTTGCCATCTCCACAATCAGAAAGTTCTACCGTGTACCCAGACTTGTTCAAAATTCCTGCTCCCTTGGCCACATCTAAGCCTACCACAGTTTCTTCTTCAGGAATTTGGAACTGCGACCAAGAGTCCAAGGTCAGTCAAGGCTGGAAGAGATTGAGAAAACCTTGGAAACAGTGGCACAGCAGTGTGGACTGTGCGGTAGAGTAAGCAAAGAAATATCATCACCACACAATCCGTGAGGAAAATTGAAGGTCAGAGAGATTACATGACTCGCCTAAATTTGCACATTTGGCATGATTTTTACAGAAATAGAAGCCAGCTTTTCTGAGTTCAAGGGTTGAGCTGGTGACAGCTGGGTCAGAGCGCTTAAGAACTCGGAACTCTTGAACGACTTGGGGCAGACAGCAGCAGGGGTTGATCATAGTCTGGCTAGTCACCCCGAAAAGTCAGATAATCAGATCAAATGTAAGCTCTCGAAGACCTCTTTACTCCCGCCAACAATAAAACAACAACAACAACAAAATCAAAGAAACTCTGGTGTTTAAAGTGTCCCTCGCTCGGCTCAGAGACTGGCTTTAGAGCCATGATGCACAGAAGACCTGCAGAGAATTTATAACGCTTAAACCTGCTGCCGGAGTTCAGATTTCTGTGCCACAACCAGGTAGCTCAAACTCTGGATTAACTACAAGCCCCAGAATTCCCCGGGCAAGCGGCGCAAGGTGGGAGGCGGAGCCACGTCGTCCGCGCGGGACCGTTAAATTTGAAACTTGGCGGCTGGGAGAAAGCGCCGGAGGTGTATAGTTTGTGAGGGAACTGGGTGCATTCTTTCGTCTGGGAGCACCGTCTGCGGTCGCTTCGACATTTCTAAGGGCAGGTTGTAGAAGGAAGTCCAAACGGTGTGCGACCCCGAGGAAAGGGCCGCGGCAGCGCGAGGGCCTGAGCCGGGAATGCAGGATGGCGGCGAGTAAGGACGGGGGTGCTCTGAGGTATGTACAAACGACCGTCGGCAGCTGGGCCTGCGAGCCCGGAGTGTGCCTTCCGGAGCAGTCAAGGAGAGGACCCGCAGGGTCAGGAGATTTGCTGGCCGGAGCCGCCTTGCTGTTGGCGCGGACGCTGGGGCTGGTAGTGAAGGCGCTGGGCGAGCCCTGAGCTCTGGGTGGGGAGGACGCGTGAGGATCCGGCTGCCTCCAGCTGCAAAGCCGAAGAGGCTGTCGGACCTCATTGGTCCGAAGAGCTTCTGGAATTTGTCGTGTGGTCAGTGTTCGTATCTCAGCTTAGCCATCCGCTCGCTGTTTTACCTTGGACACGGTTTCATATGGACAAATTATTTGTCCACTAACTGCCTGCAGATAAGTGCTCAACTGAGGGTAGGTGCTATTATTCTGCCTGTAGAATCCTTAGAATCTAAAAAGCCCTTCTCTGCATGCTTGCGGCGTTTCTTTATACAGGTTATTTATCAGTGCTGTTAGGTTGGAATTCTGTTTGTGATTTCATTATGGGGTCCACGATACCTGGATAAATGACCTATCAGGAGCTCCTTAATTCGTGCAACGAGTATTTATTGACTACCTACCACGTGCTAGGCACAGCGGACCAGACAAAAATCCCAAACCCCGCCCCAACTTAAGTTCTGGGCTGGGATGAGAATGAGGACAACAGATAATATGCAAGATAAATAAAAAGTTAGATGGTGGTTCATTAAAAAAAAAAAAGAGAGAGAAAGAAATGGGGAGAAAGGGCTTGGAATTTTCGATCATGCATGTACCTAGGGGGGAGGCACAAGCCCTGGAGGGTGAAGACAGAGTGGGGTGGGTAAGCTGCACCTGGCAAATAGCTGGAGCAGAAAGAGCCAGAAGAGTGGAGGAATTGAATTGAAAATGGTAAGGGTGTGGCTTTGTACAGGCTTTGAGTTTTACTCTGTAGTCTAAAGTCATCGGAGCAGAGGAAAGACATTATATGGGGTTTAAACGGGGTCTTTTGGCAGCTGTGTTGAAGAGACTAAAGGGAGACTAATTAATTCAGAGATTATTGAAATAATTCAGGCAACCAAAACTGACTTGAGCCATGTTGAAATTGGTGGAAATGGTGAGGTTGATTCTGGATATACTTTGAAGGTAGAACCAGCAGGATTTACTGACTGACTTAGGAGGAGGAGGTTGTGAGAGGGGTGTCAAGATTAGCGCCAAAATTTTTACTTGAGCAACTAAATTGCCATTGATTTGAGATGAGGGAAGACTGGAAGGAGGTAACAGAACAGAAGGGATGGTTCATTTGGAATAGTTAACTGAGATAGCTTATTGCTCTTTTAAGAGCAACAGAATAGATCTAGATGAACTCAACAGACGTTTATTCTGTGTGTTCTAGTGTCAGATCCTATATTAGATCATGCAGATAACAAAAATAAACGACCTGACCTATAAATATACAGGATTCATATAGCTAAAAAGATGTGAATAAATTACAGCCTAAATTATTGATCACTTATAGTTTACTTGTTGAAGAACATTTTCAGCTAATATCTAGACTGAGATGTCACACACAACTTCCTGTTTTAAAAGTTATTGCTCATCTGTCTCTTTAAACCCAGAGATAATGTCTCTTAACCAGAAGTAAGCTTCTGTTTGGTGATTACAGAAATTTAGCACTCAGAATTCATCTCCCACATGGTGATTGCTTACAAAAATACTTGATTTATGCACACCCCATAAAATGGGGTGGGGAGCCAACTGTTACAAATAAACTATTTTTGTCTACTTCTGCTCTGGCATACACACACACACACATATGGCAGGTATACACATATATATACATGCATATATATGTATATGTAGGGGGTATAGTCTGACCAACCCTGCTAATTTTAAATTCACCTAGATCATTCATTCAGTTTTAGGCTTAAAGCTCTTTGCCATATTTGTAACACTTTTCCCCCCTTCCACAAGCCTTAAATTTTATTTATAGTACTATCAACCCTTTCATATTCTCTCATCCATTAGTTAATACTACAGCCATACACTTAGAAATCAGGTCACAGTCAGGTTTAGAAATTTAGGAATATAATAATAATGATAGCAATGTCCCAGCCTACCATATTCAACCCAAGGACCATTTACAATAATCTATTGATAAAATAACTCAATACTGATAGTGTCCTCTCTTCATAGTGAAGCCATGTCCCTGGATGGAGATGAATGGGAGCTAAGTAAAGAAAATGTACAACCCTTAAGGCAGGGGCGAATCATGTCCACACTTCAAGGAGCACTGGCACAGCAAGAATCTGCCTGTAACACTACTCTTCAGCAGCAGAAACGGTGTGTAGAAGAACTGTGGGGCTCAATCTGTCATCTTTCACCTCTAACTATGGTAGATGATGTGTTGTGGGTCCATACCAGATGATATAAGGAGTACTCCTCAAAGCTTGGTAATATGAGAATCTTTTCCTATCTGCTGTATAAATATCAGTTCAGATCAGCTTGAGCCATGGCATTTCGTTTCACTATGGAGCAGCCTGTCTGTAATCAATTAAAACCCATTTTATATGGGAGACAATGTTAAAGCATGTGTCATAATATTTCCCAAGTATTGTGATAATTCTGGATCCCTAAATAGAATTAACTCTATCATAGAAACCAATTAGAGAAGTTGCTACCTTGGATTCTGAATACTAATGTAGAATGAATCTGCTATATTTTATCTGTTGAACACTTGGGTGTCCCTTATGCCCAATAAATTAAATACCTCTTGTTACAGCTTTGAAAATACCCAATTATTAGCTTTCTAGGGACCTATTATTGAATATGTACTAGAAGGAGATAGTGGTTCAATTTATAATTTCTGCAATTAACAAATTACTGGATTAGCTATGTTTTTACTGTAATTATTACAGTTTTTAACCATGTTAAACACTCATTGGGTTAAGGCCATCCTTTTACATAAGTTTGAAGTTTTTTAAACATTATTTATCTTGATAACCAAATAACTGTTTTACATAAAGTACAGCACAGGTGAAACAAACCCTTAAAAACCTAATAGCTCTGTGTTCTCTCCAAACAAGTGAACTGTTCAAACAAGGGAATTTCTTTTTGAAAAGATCAATGACAAAATTAGTTATGGAAATACTAAAAATGCGCAAGCTGGCCCTCCTTGGTGGTGCAGTGGGTTAAAGCTAAAGCGTAGCACTGAGAAGCTAAAGCCACTTCAGCATGAGTTCGATCCCCGCCACCCCAGAGGTGATCCACATGGCGCTGCAGACCTCTCCTGACCCGCCTGCTGCTCCCTTCGTCGATCTGCCCGTTCTGATCCCCGCTCTGTCTCTGGTGAAGGCTCTTACCCCCCCTACACCTCTGGCTAGTCCCCCAGCTCTGTATGCATAAATAAATAAAACTTTAAGAAAAAAATGTGAGAGCTTCCATACCTATCATGCTAGAATAGGGATGTGGGTATAATACCCTTAGAATTTGAGCATGATAAGAAAATGTTAGGAAGTCTGAGAATACCCCTGTCTTAATCAAGGACATGCCAGCTAGGGCTGCTGGGTGAAGAGAGAATCTGAATATCTTTCCAGCTTCTATGGTTATGTGTACCTGCCTAATTTCACCATAATGAATTCACTTGCAACCAAATGTATAGGTTACCATTTCGAAAATTCCAAACCATGTCATAATGAGGTATTTATAGTCTTTGTGGCTGCCATGATAATTCAATGATTTTCAGTGCTGCTACAATTTAACTTTCTATAATGGCTTTCATGATAAACAGATTGTTAATTTTCCTTAATTTTTTAAAAGTACAGAATAAAATACTTAGTCTCAAATTTTTATCACAGTCTGAGATTTATGAGTGAAGTAAACACACACACACAACCCAAAATGATCTCTTATGAAGCTGTAAATTCATTGTGAAATCAGCTTTAAAACTACAGATTATTTCAGGCAAATAAATTTATGTATATTTCACAATTTAGAATTGTTATAAATTATATAAACATTTAATTTATAATTATTTTCACATGTATATTTTCCACATGACTTGAAGAAATACATTTCATAAAATTTGCATATTGAATTACAATAAAATAATTTCTAATCAAGATTTAGCTGCTATCCTAAAAAAAGTCCTTTGTTGAGATAACATTTTAAGACAAGCCAGTATGCCACATTTGTAAAACAACTCAGAAGTCTGTTCTAAAAATCTTGTCCAACACGTTATCTCTAGGAGTAATAGACTGTTTTCTTAAAAAAAAAAAAATTTTTTTTCTTTTTTTTTTTTAATTATTTATTCATACGGAACTGGGGTACAGGCCAGATATGTGGAGGGTGAGAGAATTCACCAGAGACAGAGCAGGGAGCAGAACAGGCAGATCAGCGAAGTACATTGCTGAGGGGAGCAGCGGGCGGGTCAGGAGAGGTCTGCCACACCATGTGGTCACCTCCCTGGCAGGCAGGGATCGAACTCATGCGGAAGTGGCTTTAGCGTCTTAGTGCTGTGCTTTAACCCGCTGTGCCACCAGGGAGGGCCTCTTAAAAATTTTTTTTAAAGATTTATTTATTTAAGCATACAAGAAATGAAGTGTAGGCCAGAGGTTCAGGGAGTGAGAGGATTCACCAGAGACAAGAGTTGGCAGCCAAACAGGCAAATCGACTCAAATACACTGCTGAGGGGAGCAGCAGGCGAGACAGGAGGTCTGCTGCACCATGTGGGTCACCTCCCTGGCTGGAGATCAAACTGGTGCTGCAGTGGCCACAGATAACTTCATTGTGTTGAGTCTTTACCTGTTGCACCACCAGGGAATACCTTCTTCATCACTTTTTACTGCCCTTGCTCATGTGAAAACTATGTTTCCGTTAAGGTTCACTTAAAAAGAATTGTAGCATTCCGGCCCTCCCTGGTGGCGCAGCGGGTTAAAGCACTGCACTGAGAATCTAAAGCCGCTTCCACATGAGTTCGATTCCCGCCTGCCCCGGAGGTGACCACATGGCGAGGCAGACCTCTCCTGACCCGCCCGCTGCTCCCCTCAGCAGTGTACTTCCTCGATCTGCCTGTTCTGCTCCCTGCTCTGTCTCTGGTGAATCCTCTCACCCTCCGCATCTCTGGCCTGTACCCCAGTTCTGTACGAATAAATAAATCTTTAAAAAAAAAAAAAAGAATTGTAGCATTCAAAAGTCTAGTGCCTGGGGTTCTACTTGGATATTGTTTTTGAGGCTGTAATTGTTCTGGAGGCTGTAATTCTAAAATGAAGACACCAGCAGGTTTAGTATCTATCGGTTGAGGACCCACTTCCTGGCTCTTAAAGGGTCATGTTCTCTCCATGTCTTCATATGGCAGGCAACATTCTTACTTACGTGTGTGTCTGCTTAGTTTGTCAATACTGTCATTGTGAATAAAATAATTGCCATTGTTTATTGAGTACTTAATAATAAACATATTAATACTTACCAACCTAGTAAGATAGGTACTATTATTATTCCCATTTTTCAGATGAAGAAATTGCAAATAAGTTAATAGCTTATTCATTATTACTCAGCCTATAATGAATGGAGCTATAGTTGAGCCTTAGGGATTCTTGTTCCACAGTTTAAATCTGCTCTGTAGTTCTGTTGTTACTTTAATCCTTTCTTTTCTGTTTTAATCCTGTGTGTGTGTGTGTGTGTGTGTGTGTGTAGAAGAACTGGGATGTAGCACAGAGGTAGAGGGTCAGTGAAGAGGGTTTGTGTGAGAGGATACACCAGAGATATAATGGAGAGCAGAACAGGTGGATTCATTGAAATAGACTGCTAAGGGAAGCAGCATGTCATCAGGCCTTAGCAGTTAATAGTTCTGAGACTTAATCCCTAGGCCACCAGGGAGTCCCTGATTTCTATGTTTTATCTCTCATGTTATCAAGTAGAATTCTAATTATTTTTATTCTTTTTCTATTTAATCCTCAAACTCCAGCGTAGTTATCTACAGTGATTATTATTATTATACACTTAATAATTGAATAAAAATGGGAGGTGATACTTGTTCATTTGCATGTTCCATATTGCTTATACTAACATTTTCTGTTTAAATTTCAGGGCCTTTGAATCTGAAATTCGATTTTACACTGGAAATGACCCCCTGGATGTCTGGGATAGGTGGGTCTTTTTTATTAAAGGCAATAATTTAATAGTTGAGTCTTAAGTTCTCCTCAAAATGGGGAATATGGAGCTGTGTGTCAGAACAGAAAGTGGACGTGTCTTGAGGACATAAAGCCAGAATAATCATAGTCTCTTTCTGACGTATTCAGCACTAAAGAAATTTCAAGTTTGTCTCATGCAACTGTGAGTTATACCCTCATCTCCATTATTTCTCAGAGGTATGTTAGAAACATCTGGAAAAGCTTGAGGAATTCAGGCTTAGAGCTTGTCATTGAGAAAAGAACTAAGTATACTGTTAATATACATATATATATATTTCTACTTAAAGAAATTTGAGAATGGATAATGGAACAACAGCAAAAGTACTTGTTAAACTAAAAATATTCTTTTTCTTTGCTTCCTATTAAGGTATATTAACTGGACAGAACAAAACTATCCTCAGGGTGGAAAGGAAAGTAATATGTCAACATTATTAGAAAGAGCTGTAGAAGCACTACAAGCAGAGAAACGGTATTATAGTGATCCTCGATTTCTCAGTCTCTGGCTTAAATTGGTAAGTTTTTCTCAAATGCCATCTGAGTTTAAAATATTAAACCAAGAGGGTTTTCTCTAGAGATATCTAGTATATAATAAATGCCAGAATCTGAGACAAATTTAGTAGATTCTAAATATTTAATTTTTGCTAACTTGGTTCTCCTTTAACAATGACCTTTAGTGAAGGATTTTTACCCTTTTAGGAGTGATCACAAAACCTGTATACCAACCACAAACATAGGTTGTTTATTTCTTTTAGACATAATTGGATTATGCAGTTATACTGGGGGAAAATATGTAGGAACTAACAATGATGGTAATACAATTATTTGAGGAAAAGCTTGTGTAGGCAATTCTGGTATTCTCTTTCTAAGAGTTATTGTCATTAAAAAGTGACATTAAAAGGGGTGAGGGAGTGCACGGGACTATGGTGATGGCACACGGGTGACTCATTGATGGGAAACCCATGGGGATTACAATTGAGATAAAAAAAAAAGTGACGTTATATCTTTATCTATCTGTCTTTGAACTTCTTCCACTTGTTACTTTGCTAAAACCCAAAATGTCTCCTGATTATACTATTTCACTTGAAATGTAAAGGTCTTTTCTTTCTAGAACCCTCTTGAGAATGTTTCTTATGAAAAGATCTTCATAAAAACAAAAGACCAGGGTCCTTCCGGGTGGCTCAGCGGGTTAAAGCACAGCACTAAGAAGCTAAAGCCACTTCCCCATGAGTTCGATCCCTGCCTGCCCCGGAGGTGACCACATAGCGTGGCAGACCTCTCCTGACCCGCCTGCTGCTCCCCTCAGCAGTGTACTTTATTGATCTGCCTGTTCTGC